GGCGCTTGAGGCTCAAAGGAGTAGGGCACCAGCCCCATACACCGGGCCCCATATACTGGAGGTGGTGAGTTCAAACCTGGCCTCGGCCAAAAACTGAATAAAAAAAAAAAAAGGCTAAGAGTAATTTCACAGGACAAAATAGAAAGAAAATACACTATGATCTGCCTCTTTTCTTAGATACTAAATCATGGTCTGCAGAACTAGATCAAAGGAGAGCAGTTTTCACCCTTGATAGATTGGTAATGCCATAACTGATAGTTAACTGTTTTAAATCAAAGCCATCTTTATTCCCTCTTGCATTATTTGCTAACTTTCAGAAAACATCAGGCAGATGACCACAACCATGTCAGTGTTTATTTTTCTTGCTGGGCTGAGAAACAAGGAGCATTCTTCTAAGAGAAAGAAGATAGCAGAATGGAACCATGTCTACCTACTTAGTACCTTTGTAGGAATTAGAAAGGGGCATCCCTCATGCCTGTAATCCTAGCATTCTGGGAGGCACAGGTGGGTGGATTGTCTGAACTCATGGGTTTGAGACCAGTCAGAGACAGAGCGAGACCCGATCTCTAAAAATAGCTAGGAGTTGTAGTGGGCACCTGTAGTCCCAGCTACTTGAGAGGCTGAGGCAAGAGAATCACTTGAGCCCAAGAGTTTGCTGTGACCTATGATGCCACAGCACTTCACCGAGGGTGACAAAGTAAGATTTTGTCTCAAAAAAGGTGGGGCATCCCATCTCTCGGGAAGATGCAGCCCAATGCTGAGGTACAGGGCTTGGGGAGTGCACCACTAGCTGGACTGCACCCCCCTCCTACTTGCTATGTCAGGTGCCCACATACAGGGAATAATCTACACAACCTTACATGGTATCCTAGATGAGATCCAAGTAGGGCTCTCGGACCAAGCTCTCAGATATGTACACTTACATGACTGATGCTGCCTGATGTCTGCTGGCCGAATGGACTTGGTTCAGCCTTTCCTTCTCTTTCTCTTGGAAAGACAGATGTATCCACAGCACCCAACTTCTGTGGTGACTCAGGCCCATGTCCTGGAATTTCTCTGTGTAAGTGATGTGCATCATAATTTTCACCCCTTTGAAAAGAGCAAACCAACAGGACTTAACTAAAGAAAAAACATTGGTGGGAAGGAGGGAGAAGTGAACAAACCGTGACTGAGCGTCTGTTCACTGCAGGCAATGTGCTGGGTACTTGACATATTTAATTCTCTTTTCCTCAACACTTCTCTGGATAAGGGAGATTAGAAAGATTTCGTGTATACATCCTAGCACTCTGGGAGGTGGAGGCCAGAGGATCACTTGTGCTCAGGAACTTGAGACCAGCCTGAGCAAGAGCAAAACCCCACTTCTACTAAAATGGGAAAAATTAGCCAGGTGCTGTGATGGGTGCCTCTAGTCCCAGCTAGTCGGGAGGCTGAGGCAGGAGAATTGCTTGAATCTAGGAGTTTGGGGTTGCTGTGAGTTAGGCTGACATCATAGCACTCTTCATGATTATTGATAATGAAGAATTAGAAATAGCTCAGTAAGGCAGACTTATGCCCTTTGGGTACAAAGGCCACTAAAAATGAACCACATGGATTGCAGTAATAGCAGCAGCAGCAACTACTTGTGTGCCAGGCCTGGTTCTGGGCATTTTATTTTTTTAGCTAAATGAGTATTCTATTTACTGTGTTGTGCTAGCATAGGGCCTTACTGTAGAAACTTGAGAAATATTTGTTGAATGAGGTAAACGGAATTTCCTGTAAATACACGAGCCTTTAAATCTTTTAATGTCACTTTATAGAAACTCATAGAGGAAGTCTCCTTTAGAATTTAGGGCTAGGAATATTTTCTCCGAGGAACAGGTATGCTACAAATGAGAACTACAAACCTTTTGCTCTTTTTTTCTCTTTTTCTTTCATGAATCTCTGTGTCAGGAATCTCTGTCAAGTTTGAAATTTAGTCACAGTGACTATAATGGCTTTTGTGGCGTGTTTGTGGGTTGTTTTATTTTTGTTCTCCTGATTAAAAATTATTTCCTTTTTATTTTATCTTTTTTTGGTGGGGGAGTGGTTGTTATAAGTAGTCCTTGAGCTCAGGAGTTCAAGACTGGCCTGAGCAAGAGCAAGACCCCATCTCTATGCAAAATAGAAAAATTAGCCAGGGCTTGTAGCAGTGCCTGTAGTCTCAGCTATTCAGGAGGCTGAAGCAGGAGAAGCTCATGAACCCAGGAGTTTGAGGTTGCTGTGAGCTAGGCTGACACCATGGCACTCTAGCCTGGGCAACAGAGTGAGACTCTGTCTCAAAAAAAAAAAAAAATCAAAAAATAGAATTTCTCTGATAGCTGCTTCATTCATCCAAGTGTCCTTCTCCCTTTATTCCCAGAGAACACAAAATCTTTTTGACATAAGGGAGAGTCCTTGCACTACTGGTAGGCGAGAGTAGGTTTTCAAGTCACCACAGCTCACGAGCGCTCACACAGATAGTTCCAGATGGAGGCAGAGAGGCCATACCACCTGCTACTGCTAAAGGAGTAGGTCAAATTACTGGGCCACGCTGCTGGTCAGTGAGCTCATAGTAAGCACCTAAGTGAGCAGAATACAGAGGAAGCACTCAATACAGGTTAGCAATTATCATTTGTATTGGTACTAGGATTAGTAGTATTATTGATTTTACTCAGAGTGAATGCTAAGATGAGAAACCAAGGTTGAATTGATAGGCTTCCACTTTCTAGGCATCTCTGTACAGATAATATGGACAAATGGAAGAAGCTGTTTCTGCACTGTTGAAGTTAACTTCACTCATTACCCACACAGCCAAAGAACATGGCTTAAGTAGGAAGACATCACAATATAATCCTCCCCAAGAGTCTTTGTTTCTTAGACAACTGTTTAAGTTTGGCTGTCAGAGCATGCTGTCAGCTGAGGATTCTTATGCCTCTCAGAAAACAAAACAAAAACTAAATTCATTGAAAAGAAAAGCAGAGAAGTCCAGGCCATTACAACTTTGGACACTTACCCATTTTGCACAGTATCTGCCTCAGGAGTCTGGATGTGCTCAGCCAGGGGAGCACTGAGAGTGCTGATGCTCACACTCCTTGGCTCTGGGTCTGTGAAAACAAGGTATCCTCAATTGGCAAAGGACAACAGGTAATTGTCTCAGGAGGAGATTAGACGTGGAAAATTATTTACCTGATGAGTAGTTAAATGTATGCAAATCAGGACAGTGAGGCTTGCAGATGCTCATGGCAAGCAACATTAAGAGGTCAGGCATGTCATAATTGACTTAACCAAGTAATTTAAAAAATTTATATTGAGGCTTGGCGCCTATAGGTTACGGTCGTTATGGTGCCAGCCACATACACTGAGGGTGTTATGGTGCCACACCAAGGGTGGTGGGTTCGAACCCAGCCTGGGCCAGCTAAACAATGACAACTGCAACAAAAAATAGCCAGGCATTGTGGCGGGCACCTGTGGTCCCAGCTACTCAGGAGGCTGAGGCAAGAGAAAAGGTTAAGAG